CCCATGACGTACCATAGTCCTGTTCAGCCAATAGGAACCATTCCTAAACTACTACACCAATGCCTGTCGTACACAATTCATTACTGGGATGTTTTTATTGGCCTCTAGTGGCAGTCGCTGGCATTAATGTTCCTGTGCTTCCTTTGACTGCTAAGTGTAATGTTTGGCATTAATGTTCGTGTGCTTCCTTTGACTGCTAAGTGTAATGTGCTTGATAAAGACCATCTACTTTTTACTTAAAGACCATCTACTTTATTACTTAAGGTGCTCAGCTGTTCACAGCTGTGTCCACCTCTGTTTTGATGCTCTTATTTTGTGAAGGTACATTTAAGGAGGGAAGGCAGCACGGTTCAGACCAGTCTCAGCAGATCACAGAAACTAAGCGGTTTTTGAAAGGGAGACCACCAAGGAAGACTCTGTTGAGGAAGGCAGTGGCAACCCACCCCTCCTTCTCACTTGCCTTGAAAGCCCTTTGCTGGGTTTGCCATAAGTCAGTTGCCATTTGACGGCACTTTACACATATGCAGATGGACACGTAACCCTTTACGACAGCTGCTCTTTAGCCATGGAAGACTTTTGGTTAATGTGGATGCTGTCTCCTCTGTTGGATCGAAATGCTATCTCTTCCCAGGGTTGTTGTGACAGTCTGAAGCAGTGCCCTCCGGGAAATGCAATACAATCAAGAAAATATTCTGAGATGCTGGAGCGTTTTTGAGCCGTGTATGAAAAAGACTGAAGCAGTTTACTTGGGACAGAAATGCACCCTTGTGGCAACATCTCAGCACAACTGACTTTACCTTAGTGTCCAAGGCTGATCTTGATTTCCAGGAGACGAAAATACCTTCGGTTTTTGAAAGGAAATGGCATTTAGGTGGGAAAATCCAGGAAAGGCTTGATCAGTTGATAGAGACTCCAACCTTTCTCAGCATCAGAAGGGGTCTCGCCGCAGTGACTACTTCAGGTCGTGGAATTTGACAGTCATTCAAGGCAGGAAAGCAAGAGACGGACAGATCTGTCCTGTGAGACCAGAATCCAATGGGAAGTTCTCTTGCTCAAACCTTCTTTAAACAAGCAGCAGATATGCAAGAACTCTTCTCTGCCCTGCTACTGCTCCCAGAAGATCGTGCCCCTATGAGGAGAGGCTGAAGAGTCTGCGACTTTTCAGTTTGGAAAGAGACAACTAAGGGGGGGACATGAGAGAGGTTTATAAAATTATGCGTGGGGTGGAAAGAGTTGACAAAGATAAATTTTTCTCTGTCTCCCAAATTTTTCTCCTAGTGGATGATCTCCAGAGGCATCGGGATCGAGGTGGATCGGTGCCGCTGATCCTTCTCGATCTTTTGGCAGCATTTTAATTAATTTATTAAACTTCTACCCCGCCCTCCCACCGAAGCGGCTCAGGGCGGCTTACAAGCAATTTAAAACCAACATACAATTTAAAACCAGAAAATACAAGATTTAAAATACAATTCCATACAATTCCAATAAATACAATATGACTAAATCAATAAATACAGCGGCATCCTGTAATAAAGCGCTAGTGAGACCCAACCGGTGCAGTCAGTTCTTATTGGAACGCTTGACAAAACAGCTCCGTTTTCACGGCTCTACGGAACTGCTGACCAATATGTTTGACCATGAGGAACCCACTGCCTCTCCAACACCGGGATACGGGGGCTTGCCTTGCAATGACTGACCTCCTTTCTTCAGGGTCAGGAACAGAGGGTGGCACTCGTGGGGGGGGGGGGGGCGTTATCCCAGCGGCACCCACTAGAATGTGGCGTGCAGCAGGGAGCAGTTCTCTCCCCCATGTTGTTCAACATCTATATGCACCCCCTCGCCCAGATTATCCGGAGGTATGGGCTGGGATGTCACCAGTATGCGGACGACACCCAGCTCTGTCTACTGTTGGATGGCCGCCCGGACACGACCCCAGGAGATCTGGATGAGATGTTACAAGCGATGGCTGGATGGTTGCAACAGAGCCGACGGAAGTTAAATCCATCAAAGATGGAGGTCTTGCACCTGAGTCGCGGGGGACTGAGTCAGGGAATCAGGCTCCCAGCCTTCAGTGGGGCTCCATTGGTGCCAGCGTCGAGGGTGAAGTGCCTGGGGGTGTTCCTGGATGCCTCCCTTTCTATGGAGGTCCAGGTCACCGCCACTGCCAGGCCTGCCTTTTTCCATCTGAGGCAGATCAGGCAGCTGGCCCCATATCTCAGCCCCTGGGACCTAGCTACGGTGACTCACGCGATGGTCACTTCCAGACTGGATTATTGCAACTCTCTCTGCCCTTGGCTCTGCTCCGGAAGTTGCAGCTAGTGCAGAATGCGGCAGCACGGGTGTTGACGGCGACGCCTGTGCAGGCTCCTATCTACCCAGTGCTGCATGAACTGCACTGGCTGCCTATTGAATTCCGGATCTGTTTCAAGGTGCTGGTGCTTACCTTGAAAGCCCTATACGGCCAGGGGCCAGCATACCTTCGGGACCACCTCTCCCCATATGAGTCCCGTAGGACATTGAGGTCCATGAATCAACATCTTCTGGCAGTCCCCGGCCCCAGGCACGGTTCAGACCAGTCTCAGCAGATCTCAGAAACTGAGCGGTTTTTGAAAGGGAGACCACCAAGGAAGACTCTGTTGAGGAAGGCAGTGGCAACCCACCCCTCCTTCTCACTTGCCTTGAAAGCCCTTTGCTGGGGTTGCCATAAGTCAGTTGCCATTTGACGGCACTTTACACATATGCAGATGGACACGTAACCCTTTACGACAGCTGCTCTTTAGCCATGGAAGACTTTTGGTTAATGTGGATGCTGTCTCCTCTGTTGGATCGAAATGCTATCTCTTCCCAGGGTTGTTGTGACAGTCTTAAGCAGTGCCTCCAGGAAATGGAATACAATCAAGAAAATGTTCTGAGATGCTGGAGCGTTTTTGAGCCGTGTATGAAAAAGACTGAAGCAGTTTACTTGGGACAGAAATGCACCCTTGTGGCAACATCTCAGCACAACTGACTTTACCTTAGTGGACTCAATTGAACCACTGGTTTGATCCAGTAGGGCTCTTCTTATGTTCTTATGTCTTGGCCTGTCTGCTCCAGCCCAGTTTTGTATTCAAGCCCTGCCTGTTGGGGTTTTTTTTGGATGGAGGGCTTCCAGTCACAAGGAAAGGGGAATGGAGGTTCTACTTTTTAACATATGCTTATATAAATGACATAAAATGAGAGTCATTCCTATGTTGCCAATCTTTTTTCTCCTACAAAGATTTTGTAATAAAATCAAAAGCTCTCTGTGTATTGTGTGTTTGTGTGTGTATGTGGCTTAAAAAAAACCCCTATCAGAATGACACCTGCCCATCAAGCCTAAAAGCAAGAGCCCTGGGTAGGGTTACCAACCTCCAGGTAGGGGCCGGAGATCGCCCAGAAATACTATTGATTTCCAGACTACAGAGGCTGATTCTCCTGAAGGAAATGGCAACTTTGGAGGACAGAGTCCAAGGAGTCACACCCCGGTTGAGGTCCGACCCCACTATTCCCAGCATTGCATCCATCTCTAGGAAGTTCCCAAGCTATGGCCCTAGCCTAGGCCATGTAACAATAATACCTCAGCATTTTAAGAACATGCTTTCGAAAGCCTTTAGTTCACAGTTAGCTTTAAATTTACAGTCCAGGCATAGGAAAATGAAAGGGGTTTGGGAAAGGAGGTGAGGTTTCCAGGGAAGGTGAGTGGGCAGTTTTGAAATTTAGATGTCATCATATTGTGCATTGTAAATCAGGTTGCCTTTGACAATTCTGTAGTTTTGTTGCAGCTTTTGCTCTGGATTTCCACCCCTTATTTTCTTACTGTCATTTAATTGTCCTTTGGTTTTGTATCAGTGTGAAGTTCCCTTGTGGATCCTGCTACATGGAAAGGGTATAAACACTTTAGTTAGGGTTACCAGATGCCCTCTTTTTTGAGGATGTGTCCTCCTGTTTTTTGGCATCTGTCCTTTTTTGGGCTTAAAAAAACCTGATGAAAATGGGGTTGGGGTTGGAAGGTTAGAAATATTCCTAGTTAGTAGCAGTTATCACAGTTTAAATAGTAGTAGGGTGAGATTTGTCATAGTGAGATTTGTCATAGTGATCATCACTTGTTCGAAGTAGAAATATGTCCTCTTTTTTGCTTTCAAAACAGTGAATGAATTGAACGAAACACTTCTCTTGTCCACTTTAACATCATGTCAGCTACCATCCTTTTTGGACATCCAACGCTTAGAGCTGTGTGCAACTCGAAAGTTCGCATCCGTTTCTCTCAAGTGTAATGTTTTCCCCTCACTTGGAGGAAAAACACATTTGCTCGTTTTCGTTTTCGTTCCATCCTCCCATCTGAAACGACGCCACTCGGTCGTATTTCGGGGGATTCGCCTGAATCGCCACTCTTCCTTGGCAAAGTGAGGGCACCACGTCGTGGGCGCCGGCTTCTTTTTCCTTCATGCGCAGACTCCAGGGGGAGGGGGCGGGGACTCTTGACAATAGCCTCTCCTGCTCTCCACGTTTGCCTAGCAAGGGGCGGGACGAGGCGTCCGAGCAGCCAATCGGCGGCTCCCACGACCCACCCCAGGGAACGAGCTTCAGAATGCTGAAAGTTTCAGAGTTCGGAGCCGAACTATTTAGTGGGGCGAGCGGCGCACGTGGGGGCTGAGTGGGGCCGTCATGGTGTCTCCTCGAGCTTGTGTGAGCAGGCTGGGCGGAGGAAAAACACATTTGCTCGTTTTCGTCCCATCCTCCCATCTGAAACGACGCCCCCTCGGTCGTATTTCGGGGGATACGCCTGAATCGCCACTCTTCCTTGGCAAAGTGAGGGCACCACGTCGTGGGCGCCGGCTTCTTTTTCCTTCATGCGCAGACTCCAGGGGGAGGGGGAGGGGACTCTTGACAGTAGCCTCTCCTGCTCTCCACGTTTGCCTAGCAAGGGGCGGGACGAGGCGTCCGAGCAGCCAATCGGCGGCTCCCACGACCCACCCCAGGGAACGAGCTTCAGAATGCTGAAAGTTTCAGAGTTCGGAGCCGAACTATTTAGTGGGGCGAGCGGCGCACGTGGGGGCTGAGTGGGGCCGTCATGGTGTCTCCTCGAGCTTGTGTGAGCAGGCTGGGCTCCGCGCTGCCCTTGCTGCTGGCGCTCTGGGATCTGCACTACGAGGGTGAGGAGGCAGGAGGGAACGCGGTGGGCGCAAGCCCTGGCAGTCGCTGTCCGGGGAATAGGGGTGGAGGGGGTGTGCGTGTGTGCCAGCTCCATTTGGCGGGGATGCGGTTAGCAGGCTCCCTTTTCCCGGCGAGTTGGCAACGTCAGCTGGCTTTTTAAGGGCCCTCACGCCAAGGCGCGAAGCCAAGTGTTGCTGGGGGAGGCAGAGGTTGTTGCTGCCCTTGTAGTGGGGTCTGCACAGTCCTTGCAGAATGTGGCTCTTTGCTGAGCTGTGCCCGTGGGTGGTGCCGGAAGGGTTGGGAAAGATCGGGGAGATGTGAAGGTTCTTCTCTTTCGTCCAGTAGCCCTGGGACTGGGGACCTGAAAGGTGTGCCAAGAGTTGTGTTGTTTTCGATAACTTAGGTTTGCCAGTAACTGGAGATGGGCTCTGCTGGTGTGGTGTTGTGACCTACGCATTTTCCAGCTCACATCTTATTTTGTCTCCTCTTTGCTGAAATGTCACTCTGGATCGCTTTCAGTGTTCCCTCTAAGCTGAACTAGTGTGAGCCAGCGCACGGGTTGTTAGCCTGCGGCTCACACATTTTTTTGTCTCGGCTCAGGAAGGGATGGCTCCAGAGCAAACTAATTTATGCAGCAGCCAAATCGCCCGCTCACAACTTTAATGCCAGTAGCTCACAAAGTAGGATTTTTGCTCACAAGACTCTGCAGCTTAGAGGGAGCATTGGTCACTTTGTGTATGTGTGTGTAAGTTTAAAGTGCTGTCAAGTCGCAGCTGACTGATGGCGACCCCAGCAAGGCAAGTGAGAAGCCGAGGTGGTTTGCCCTTGCCTGCCTCTGCAGAGTCCCCCTTCCAAGTACCGACCTTGCTTAGCCTCTGAAGTCTGACCAGATTGGTCTATACTGTACCAGTCCACATCCCTGGATGGCTTTATAGAAGCCAAAAACAGCCACCAAAAAGCACCTTCCAGGCTTAACATTCTCCCCAGATGCAATATGGAAATAACAGTGCTGGCCAACTTCATGTGGCTGTTGTATAGCTACTGTGCGAGTGAGTGTATAAAGTGATTTGTGTAGCTGGGAAAAGCACTGTAGAGATTCTAACTATTGTCCTGTTTATTCAGTGGTAGAGGTTTGAATGATCGCCGCTGTTATTCTGTGGTATCGAAAAGTAACTCTTGTTAGCGGAAAAGGTGGAGGTTAATTCTCTCTCTTTGGTGTTGGTGAATGTGGTCAGTCTCGGGCTCTCCAAGTACTTTTGCGCTGGCAAATGTAATGTGTGAACTGGGAGGTCACAGACATAGTGAATAACAGGTTCTGCAAGTGCAGCAGTGTTTCCCCGTCACCCTGGGAGTGCAGTCAGTCCACCAGGGCCAGTTTAAGGCATGCTGAGACCCTAAAGCCATGTCAAATTTAAGAGGCCCCACAGCCTCAGGGGGAAAAAATGGCAATTTAGTAGCTTTTAAAAATTTTGTGCCTGCTCATCATATGAGGCCCTGAACTGTAATTTACTTAAACTGCGCATCAGTCAAACTCTGGCGGTCCACTGCCCTTTCTCTTTTCCTTTCCTTTATTTAGTCATGTGGATGATGGTGGGTTGGGGTTGTGTGATAATGCCCGATAGCATTGGTCTGTCATGCAGCATCTTTGGGTGCCCTCCTTTGGGTGCCCTCGCCCTCTGAAATTACGCAGGTGGCAACCCAGGAGACGGCCTTCTTGGTGGTGGCACCAGAACTCTTCCCCCCCCAGAGACTCACCTGCCCCCCTTCCATTGCTATCTTCTGCCAGCAAGTGGAGACATTTTTGTTTCATCTGGTATCCCCTCAGTGACCCCCTCCTTCCTGCCCAACGTTTTGTGTTTTAATTGTACGTGTTTCTAGATGTGCTTTTATTATGTTTTAAATCTGTTAGCTGCCTTGGTGGCTGTAATGTATCCAGTCCAGACAAGTCCAGAGACAAATGTCGTGCTTCGCTTCAAGAAACAATGAACTATGCGGATCCTAGCCCGCTCCAATCAGGGGGCTAGGTTCCCGGCCGAGAGCCTATGGGACTCTCGGCCACTGTAAATAACCTATAGGGAAGTAGGGGTGTGTTTTGGGTGGCGGTTTCTCGGGAGATATAAGCCAGTCTGCGAGCCGGCCAAAGTCGTCTTGTTCCGGATAGAATAAAGTACGCTTTGCTGAAATCACTCTCCGTTTGCATACTTTTCAGTGGCCCTCATGAGGGCAGAGAGGCGGGGTATAAATTTTGTAAATAAAAAACATTGTGACTGATTTCACACAAGAGCTGCGCCACGGTCGCGCCTCCCTTTGATCTGCTTGTATTGGTCAGTTTCCCACTCGAAGCCGCGCGGCCACATTTTGACCTGCGGCTTCGCCCGATTTTCCCCGCAGTTTCGTGGTCCTCAAAAAACAGGACCACAAAACCGCGGGGGAAATTGGGCAAAGCCGCAGGTCAAAATGTGG